CTTATTGTGCCTATTTCTTTTCCTTTGTCTAACATATTTTATAAATCGTGTATGCTCTCATATATGCTTATATTCAGCCCAAATTGGCCTTGCTTTCGTTCAATAAATGCGTATTGCTGGTTGATGGATCTCCATGGCCTAACTGGGGAGGCACTTTTAGTCCCTAAATTACCAGTTTGCTATATGGACGATTACTTTGTCATTTGACAGCGTGGCAAAGAAAACCTGGAGAATATTCTTGTTTTGATGAACAAGATCGATCGGAAGACGAAATTCACAGTCGAGTTAGAAAAGGAAGGTCGTTTACCTTTTCTTGATCTCCTAATTAGCAAAGAAGGGACTAGATTAGGTAGAGATATGTGTATGAAATCCACAAACGCAAGTTTCCCTTTGAATTTATTTTCCAACCACATCTATGGGGCTAAAGGAGGGGGCATCTCCAAGGTAATCCCCCTACAGCTTCAGGTGGGACCAACTTACGAATCCCTTCCCCTCGCCTCTTCAAACGAAATGAAAGGTGCTCGAGCAGCAATCTATTAAAGAATTATTCTATACCTAGTTTTTCTATGTAGCTGAGGATCTGTCACCAGTTCACACGACCATTTTTAACAGTTTGCTGAAATGGCTTACATCCTTTCGTTGCATCATGAGTGATGCCTAGCATTTAGTTGAAAGGTAGCTCATTTATGCAAAATGTGATTGGTGTCGGGCTCTTTATTGAACTTTGCCAGATGAAATTCATGTTGTTTATTTTACCATGGAGCTAGCAACTTACAGTTAAAATTATTAGAGGAATGGTATTGTCATTCTAAACCGGATATGTCATTTAGCTTCCCTTCTTGGGTTACATATTAAAAAGCATATTTCTCTATTTCGTATTCCTTATTCTTTTCTAATTCATTGTTTTATTAGTATTTTCCGAATATCTCTATCTTATAACTATGTTCTCCTTAGTATTCATATCATTTTTGTGTCACATTTGCATAACTATCTCACCTTCATCATTTGCATCTTTCAAATTTAGCTATTATACTTAAATCCTATGACACATTTACTCTAGACTCTTTATCTGTTATTAAACATTTTAAAGCTAAACACCTGGGATTGAATAATTTCAACCTGGTCCTTATAGTGGACTTGGGAAAGGCTTAATCAATTTTTCTTCTAGCATTGATATTTTAATTGCTTTCCTTTTGAGCCATTCCGGGTAAACTAATTACTGACTTTGTTTACATTTAAATTTCTCTTTCTTAGGCAATCTAGCTGACGTGGAGGATAATGAAGATGACTCTACTGGTGACTCCCACCCAGTTGTGACTAGCATCCACCCTGATTCTCTCTTTTTTCATGATTCTTGTGATACTGTTCCTGCCTGCCAGACTGTCGAGACTTGCCTGTCCGATCAACTAGCTTCTCTAAAGTTCGACACTTGTGCTGAGTCAGACTATCTTGTCGGCCATAAGCCTAGTGATAAGACAAATAGCGCAGCGAGCATGCTTTTAAATGACAAGAGGAATCTGAGCCCTGTTTGCCATAACTTCAATGATACTATTCTTGATTCGGTGACCTCTTGGAAAGATGATTTTGTTTACGTGAAGCCTCGTGACTTGGATCTGTTTGGGCAGACCGAGCTTCAGTTGGCCAGTCGACTAGCTCGCCAGCCTTTGCTCGATTATACCGAGTCAAATAATTTGACTGATAACCTTCGGCAGGACGGATTTGACACTCAAATAGGCAACCTCGAAGAGTGTCTTTCCAGATACACCGCTTCAGAGGTATTGACTGACTTAAATTCTCTCTTTTGCGAAGTCTGCACTGCACGTCTCAGCAAGCCTGCTCTGGAAGACAAGGCAGTATTAACTAAAACAATTTCAGAAGACAGACTAACTGGTGAAATGGAGTCTGGAATTAGGACAAATGAGAACAAGTCTATTTTGGTTCGGCAGTCGATTGTCAAGCGGGATCTTCTCTTTATTCTTCCTCCTCTTCTCACCATCCACCTCAAGCGATTTCAGCTGGTAAGACTAGAGCACATCATCCGGTGTAATTTTTAATCAAATTTTATTTATTAGAGCTTTGATCTTATACCAGCCATCCAAGTGCATAACAATTTTAATCCCAAACAAATAAGCTTTAAATAGGCAACCCTTGTTTTTAGGATGGTCTTTCATTTGCAATCTACTATTGACAGAGCAATCTGAATGCATTCATTACAAGCTTTTCAAGATAGATCTGTTTTACTCATAAACACCTCCAGTACAATATGCAAGAAATTACCCGAATTTACCGCCTTAATTTTATCCTGGCTCTTATTTGAGACGCTATTCTTACTCTCTAGAATGAATCTTTACTACATTTTGTATATTTTGTTTCAATTTCATGAGTCCATATTATGCATGTCTTGAATCCTTACCTTTTCATTTTAACTTACCTTTTTTTTCTTTTGTAATTACTATATATTTCCTAGAATGGACGATTTCTGCAAAAGGTTCAGAAACCTATACGGTTTTCGCTTTATTTGGACTTGACACCCTTCTGCTCTTCCCTTTGCCAGGCAAGTCATCCATTTGAAATAAGCACTAAGTAACCATTTTCTGGTTTAGACTGTTGATTTTGCATAACAATATGACAAATAGTCTTACTTTTCAATAATTTATCCATCTTACCTTAATAAAGAACTGTTGCTATTCACCCTACGCCTGGCTTTGAAACGATGATTACCTCTGCTTGCTATATCTTACTAAACCAAATATATTTGATGCATAAGAAGTGGGTTTTAGATACAGTGATCAAGATAGTGTGGTCTTCGGTTTTGTCTCAGTCAGTATTATATAATATTATACAATCCTATGATCACTAATTGCTTTATTATAATGAGTTGGATTGACTTCCTTTTGACAACTTGGTCGGGATGACAGGGAGATCTCGTGTAACATACCTATTCTTGTGTCCTCTACTATATTAATCATGATTATTCCCTTCATCGGCATCCTCCCTTCTTTCCAGGCTCCCAATGCCCTATCATTGTCTTTCATTCTCATTTCATATGTCTACTTTACTTATCTACACAGCTTTCTCTATTGGATTGTTATGGTCCCTCCCAAGAGTATCATCCGTAACGAAATTGGGCAAGTGAAGTCACACCAACTTTAAGAGTGGTTACCTTTTTTAAGATGATTGTTTACTGC